CCATGCACCAAGCTTTCTCGCCAGTTCCTTACCCATCTAGCCCAATGAAGGACCAGCGGCAAAGAAGCTAGGCGGAAGTGCGACTACGGACGTTTTAACTGCAACAACTTTAATATACGCTTTTGGAGCTGGAATTACCGCGGCTGCTGGCACCAGACTTGCCCTCCAATTGATCCTCGTTAAGGGATTTAAATTGTACTCATTCCAATTGCTAGGCCAAAATGACCCAGCATTGTTATTTATTGTCACTACCTCCCCGAATTGGGATTGGGTAATTTGCGCGCCTGCTGCCTTCCTTGGATGTGGTAGCCGTTTCTCAGGCTCCCTCTCCGGAATCGAACCCTAATTCCCCGTTACCCGTGGTAGCCATTGTAAGCCTCTATCTTACAATCAACAGCCTGATAGGGCAGAAAATCGAATGTACCGTCGCCAGCACAAGGCCATGCGATCAGCTAAATTATTATGAATCACCAAAAGAACTGGTTTTACCCAGGTTGGCTTTGATCTAATAAGTGCAGCCCTTCTGTAAAGTCAGGCCTTTTTTTGCATGTATTAGCTCTAGAATTACCACGGTTATCCAGTAGTAAGGTATTTGTCATGTAGATCATAACTGATTTAATGAGCCATTCGCAGTTTCGCTGTAAAAATTTGCTTTTACTTGGACATGCATGGCTTAATCTTTGAGACAAGCATATGACTACTGGCAGGATCAACCAGGTAACTACTTGGGGAAAAACCGTTTGGCTGGAGTGCTAGGGAAAATCAATTCCTTTGCTCCCCACTTTCCCATGGCGGTTCAACCTGAAATTAATTAGGTCAATCCACCATGAACCACGTCTCATTTTTTTCTCCTTTCGCCTACCATTGTAGGTTGTTCTAGGTCGACTAGGCAAGTTTTCCTAAGAAATCTCGCCCAATCTTCCCATATCCATATTGCCAGTTCGACAGTTTTTCTAACACAATGCTATCACCTAAATAATTTTAGGCGAAAGATTGGTCAAAAAATGAAGGTTTAGGCCAAGAAGACGTATACTCATCTTCCCAACCTATTACCCTCGAGTAGGTTTACCAAATAGTCCTAGCCATGGGCCAGTCGTACCAAGTTCACCAGTCATTCTTCAGGCCATCCCTAAGGACGCCCCGAATAATGTTTTTTTGCATCGATGAGGAAAGAGATGACCCAAATTCTCTTCTGCCCAACGATTGCTGGCTCCTAGTCTCCATCTCTGCCCACCAAAGTAAGCAAAGACCTGAAAAGGTGCCTGGTAGAATCATCCTGGCCAGCCTCCCAAGTTTCCCTAGGAAGTTTTGACCGATTCCCTTGAAATTCTGGGGAGACTCTGAACCTTTCGGTTCTTCGTCCCAACCCTTCCTTTCATATATTCTATGGGTCGACATTAGCTCGGGGCATTCTCCACACTGAATATCCTGGCTTTGTAAAAGTCAATTTTTGAGATTTTAAAAAATAATGGAGCTAATTCATTTAAACCATGTTGATGATATAGAGAATAATTTTCTGATTAGTCTACATACTTTCCTTTTATAGATTGTCTTATTCCTTTTTGAGAAAAAATAAAAAAAAGTACTTTTTACTAGTATTTTACTAGTAAATGCTAGTAAAATTATATCCCCCCTCTATCCCCCTTAGCGGACATTAAAATATTCATCAACCACAGGCTGTACTATTAAAATGCAGCTCAAATATAAGCTACATATATACATGCCACATATAAATAGCTGTAAAATCACCCTTTATTGCTCACTAATCATTCAAAAATCGTCATCATTGCATGAAATTTGGAGAGAATGTATATTAAATAATTGTCTTTTAATTGTATTAAGGACAATTTATATATTATATTATAATTTATAGAATAAAATAAAAAATAAGCGTTAATTTCATCATAGCTCACCCGATATTCAACATTAACCAATCAAATTGCACCATTGGATTCATCTCAGAAAAATAGACAAACAATATTAATAGCCTTTTATTGGTCAACTTGGTCCAAAGTGAGAAATTCAATATCAATGTCTTTTTTACTATGCTGTAATGTGCCATGTACCACCTTTTTTTTTATAACTGACCCAAAAATCATCATCATAACACAAAATTTGGACTGAATACGTATTAAATAATTCTCTTTCAATTGTATTAATAACAATTAATAGATTATGGCATAATTTACAGAGTAAAATAAAAAATAAGCGTTAATTTCATCATATCTCACCCAATATTCAACATTAACCAATCAAATAATACCATTGGATTCCTCTCAAAAAAATAGATAAACAATATTAATAGCCTTTTATTGGTCAACTTGGTGCATAATGAGAAATTCAATATCAATGTCTTTTTTACTATGCTCTAATGTGCCATGTACCACCTTTTTTTTTGTAACTGACCCAAAAATCACCATCATAACATGAAATTTGGAGAGAATGTATATTAAATAATTCTCTTTCAATTATATTAGTAACAATTTATATATTATGACATAATTTACAGAGTAAAATAAAAAATAAGTGTCAATATCGCTATAACTCACCCAATATTCAACATTAACCAATCAAATTGCACCATTGGATTCCTCTCAAAAAAATAGACAAACAATATTAATAACATTTTATTGGCCAACTTGGTGCATAGTGAGCAATTCAATATCAATGTCTTTTTTACTATGCTGTAGCGTGCCATGTACCACCTTTTTTTTTTTTTTGTAATTCACTCAATAATCACCATCATTGCATGAAATTTGGAGAGAATACATATTAAATAATTATCTTTCAATTATATTAATAACAATTTATACATTACCTCACAATTTACAGAGTAAAATAAAAAATAAGCATCAATATCGCCATATCTCACCCAATATTCAACATTAACCAATCAAATCACTACCATTGGATTCTTCTCAGAAAAATAGACAAACATTATTAATAACTTTTCATTGGTTAACTTGCTCCACAGCGAGAAATTTGATCCATAATACTTTACATATGTTCTATTGTCACATGAAAATGGATTATACAGTGTGTATATCTTTATATTTTTATAACTCGGTCAAAAATCATCATCATTGCTTCAAATTTGGAACAAATATACATCCATATATTCTCTTTCACTTTTATTAATAACAATTTATACCTTACCTCCCAATTTTTAGAGTAAAAATAAAAAAAAGAACAATATCATAGGCAAAAATTTCTAAATCAGTCACAATTCTCAACATCATCGAAAAAAAATTACATCACTAGATTCCTCTCAAAAAAGTAGCTAAACATCATCTAATATGGAGTAAAGCACTACCTTAATGAAATAATGTGTAATTAACAATAATCCTTTTTTTTTATTATTTTTCCTTTCCATTTTTGGAAAAAAAATTTCATTGGCTCATCGAAATTTCTCTGGAATCTTCCTTTGATTTTTGAAAAAAGTATAAAAGAGAGGTCAAAAAACTTGATCTTTTTTTTTTTTTTTCTTTGTCATCACTAAGGTATGCAATAGTATCAGATTGGTTAGGAATCTTGGGTCAATAGATTCTAGTCGAATACTTGTTGTTCGTCAAAGCTTTCTCTGGTATTTAAGGCATACTACATTCTACTTCTATATAATGGTCTTTATAGTAGTATGTTTGTAGTAGAATAACTTGTTATTCTAACCTTACATAAAAGGGCATGGTAAGCAGATGCAGGGTTTAGCAGACACTGCCATTGTCGGAAGATCTGGTACAGAATTCATACTGTATAAGGTGATGGCCCCCCCTATTGAAATGAAAATGAAAATAAAACCTAAAAAATGAAGATGAATATAAAAAACTCTCTTCATCATTGGATACACAATAAAGAGTAGTATAAATGTTCATAATGACTTTTTATTGGTTAGCTTGCTCAATCTCGAGAAATTCGATGCGTAAGCCCGTTTTTTACTATGCTGTCAAGTGACATGTCCCTCTTTGTTTTTTTGTAACTGACTCAAAAATCATCATCATTGTATCAAATTTGGAGTAAAGATACACAATCATATTACCTTTCATTCGTATTAATGACACTTTACATGTTACCTTGCCATTTGTAGAGTTATTTAAAAAATAAAGGACAATGTCATGATTTCTCACTCAATTTTCATCGTTATACAATACTATTATACCAGTGTATTCTTCTCATAAAAATAGTGCAAGTCATATAATATCATTTTATTCATTAGCTTGCTCCATTACGAGAAATTCGACGCGTAAATTTCTTTTACACTATAATATCACATATGATAGATACATATATACCTCTTTATACTATGCTCAAAAGTCATCATCATTGTATCAAATTTGGAATAAACATACACCAACATATTCCCTTTCACATGCCTTAATAATAATTTATATCCATTCATTTATACATCAGTCAAAAAAAAAAAAAAAGAAACAATCATTTGCACTTTATTAAAAAAAAAAAACTAGCTAATATATTGACTAGTTTGCATAGTATCTATATTAAATAATAAAAAAAAGGTTAGTAGTATTCTTTTACTCTAAATAAAAATAAAAATAAAAAAAAAAAGAAAAAGACATTACCTAAAGGTCATGGCCCCATTACAATGCATCTCCATCTTGCACAAGAAGAAAAAAAAGTAACCACCAAGTTCAACACATTGCCTAGTTGCCACAGTATCTAAATAAAATAAAAAAGAAAAAAGTTAGTCATATTCTTTTACTTTATAAAAAAAAAAAGCAAGTCCATTACCTTAAGGTTACCACGAGATCCCTTTACCATTGGCAACATGAATAAAAACAAAAAGAGGTAAGCACCAAGTTTAACCTATAGAATAGTCTCTATAATGTAAACAAAATAAAAAAGAAAAAGAAAAAGAAAAAGGTTAGTAATATTCTTTGACTTGTAAAAAAAAAAAAAAAAAAAAGTAACTCCGTTACCTTAAGGTCAGCATAAGATCCCTTTGACATGACCAACATGAATAAAACAAAAGGAGGTAACCACCAAGTTTAACGGATAGAATAGTTGCTATAATATAAATAAAATAAAAAAAGTAGGTAGTTAGTAATATTCTTTGACTTTATTAAAAAAAAAAAGTAAGTCCATTACCTTAAGGTCAACACGAGATCCCCTTGACATCACCAACATGAATAAAACAAAAGGAGGTAAACACCAAGTTTAGCAGATAGAATAGTCTCTACAATATAAATAAAAAAAAAAAAGAAGAAATGAAAAAGGTTAGTAGTATTCTTTTACTTTATAAAAAAAAAAAAAAAAAAAAAAAAAGTAACTCCGTTACCTTAAGGTCAACACGAGATCCCCTTGACATCACCAACATGAATAAAAACAAAAAGAGGTAACCACCAAGTTTAACAGATAAAGTAGTTGCTATTATATAAATAAAGCAAAAAAAAAAAAAAAAAAGTAAAAGGTTAGTAGTGTTCTTTTGCTTTATAAAAAAAAAAAAAGGAAAAGTACCTCCGTTACCTTAAGGTCACTACGAGATGTCGTTACCATTGCCAACATGAATAAAACAAAAGAAGGTAAACACCACTTGTATCATATAGAATAGTCTCTACAATATAAAAAAAAAAAAAAAAGAAGAAAAGAAAAGGTTAGTAGTATTCTTTTACTTTATAAAAAAAAAAAAAAAAGTAGCTCCGTTACCTTAAGGTCACCACGAGATCTCTTTGACATGACCAACATGAATAAAACAAAGAGAGGTAACTACCAAGTTTAACAGATATAACAGTTGCTATAGCATAAATAAAATAAAAAAGGTAAATACTTAGTAATATTCCTTGACTTTATAAAAAAAAAAGTAAGTCCATTACCTTACGGTCAACACGAGATTCCTTTGCCATCACCAACATGAATAAAACAAAAAGAGGTAGCCACCATATTTAACAGATAGAATAGTTGCTATAATATAAATAATAATAATAAAAAGAAAAAGAAAAGAAAAAGGTTAATAATATTGTTTTACTTTATAAAAAAAAAAAAAAGTAACTCCGTTACAGTACCTTAAGGTCAACACGAGATCTCCTTGCCATCGTCAACATGAATAATACAAAAAGAGGTAACCGCCACTTTTAACACATCGAATAGTTTCTACAATATAAATAAAATAAAAAAAGTAGGTAGTTAGTTATATTCTTTTACTTTATAAAAAAAAAGTAAAGTCCATTACCTTAAGGTCACCACGAGATCCCTTTACCATTGGCAACATGAATAAAAACAAAAAGAGGTCAGCACCAAGTTTAACAGATAGAATAGTTGCCATAATATAAATAAAATAAAAAAGAAGAAGAAAAGAAATAGTTTAGTAATATTCTTTTACGTTATAAAAAAAAAAGGAAGTCCGTTACCTTAAGGTCACCACGAGATCTCTTTACCATCACCAACATGAATAAAACAAAAAGAGGTAACCACCAAGTTTAACAGGTAGAATAGTTGCTATAATATAAATAAAATAAAAAAAAAAAAAAGAAAAGAAGGTTAGTAATATTCTTTTACTTTATAAAAAAAAAAAAAAAAAGTTAACTCCGTTACCTTAAGGTCACCACGAGATCTCTTTGACATGACCAACATGAATAAAACAAAGAGAGATAAACACCACTTTTAACACATAAAATAGTTGCTATAATATAAATAAAATAAAAAAAGTAGGTAGTTAGTAGTATTCTTTTACTTTATATAAAAAAAAGTAAGTCCATTACCTTAAGGTCATCATAGATCCCGTTGACATCACCAACATGAATAAAACAAAAAGAGGTAACCACCAAGTTTAACACATAAACTAGTCTCTACCATATAAATAAAAAAAAAAAAGAAGAAGAAAAAGGTTAGTAATATTCTTGTACTTTATAAAAAAAAAAAAAAAAAAAAAAGTAACTCCGTTACCTTAAGGTCAGCATAAGATCTCTTTGCCATCGTCAACATGAATAAAACAAAAGGAGGTAAACACCACTTTTAACACATAAACTAGTTGCTACAATATAAATAAAATAAAAAAAGTAGGTAGTTAGTAGTATTCTTTTACTTTATATAAAAAAAAGTTAACTCCATTACCTTAAGGTCATCATAGATCTCTTTGCCATCAGCAACATGAATAAAACAAAAGGAGGTAACCACCAAGTTTAACACATAAAATAGCCTCTACAATATAAATAAAATAAAAAAAAAGAAAAAGAAAAAGAAAAAGGTTAATAATATTCTTTTACTTTATAAAAAAAAAAAAAAAAAAAAAAAATAGGAAAAGTAACTCCGTTACCTTAAGGTCACCACGAGATCCCTTTACCATTGCCAACATGAATAAAACAAAAAGAGCTAAACACCACTTTTAACACATAAACTAGTTGCTATAATATAAATAAAATAAAAAAAAAAGGTTAATAGTATTATTTCACTTTATAAAATAAAAAAAAAAGGATATTTCAATAGTTCCTTACGTTATGTCATGTCAAGAGATTATTTTGTCGTTACTACTAGTCGTTACATTGTTGCTAATGAATAAAAGTAAAAAGGTGAATGTCAGTGTATATAAATAAAAAAAAAGAGTCAGTTGTATCGTTCATTACCAAAAGTCGTATTAACATTAATAGTAGTAAAGAAAAAAAAAGGATAAGGAAAGAGAAATAAAAAAAAAAAAAAAGGAAAAAAAAAAAAGGAGAATTGGGGCCCAGATCTCGTTTTTTTTTTTTTTCTCATAGCTATTTTCGCGTATGTACGCCATCGGAAAGGTTGTTTATCTCTGTATACATCATCTAAAAGATTGTTTATTTCTTCTTTTTTTTTTTTTTTTCTTCTGTGTACCATTCGGAAAGGTTGTTTATCTCTGTATGTATCATCTAAAAGATTGTTTATTTCTTCTGTGTACCATTCGGAAAGGTTGTTTATTTCTTCTTTGTTTGGGGGGCCGTTTTTTTTTTTTTTTGTTGATGTTACTTCTATGGGATACCAAAAGGAGATGTATATCTAATTAATGCATCATCTTTTTTTTTTTTTTTTTTTTCGTTGATGTTACTTTTGTGGGATACCAAAAGGGGATGTATATCTAATTAATGCATCATTTTTTTTTTCTTGTATACCATATGCAACGTTGTTTTACTTTTTTCTTTTTTTCACTTTTGTGTACCATCTGAAAGGTTGTTTACTTCTTTTTTTCTTCTATCCTGTCTATCGTTTCATCCATTCTTTTTTATTCTATCCTGTCCACCCGTTCATCCATTAAAAAAAAAAAAAAAAAAAAAAAAAAAAAAAAAAAAAGAGAATTATATTCACTTTATTAAAAAAAAAAAAAAAAAAAAAAAAGGTTCTATCTAAAACAAAATATATCATAGTATAATCCATCCTGTCAATATACGTATCATCATCCTATTCATTATAAAAAAAAAAAAATAAAAAATAAAAAAATCAGTTACTTCCTTTTCACTTTACATATGTATACTGTATATGTATATAAAAAGAATCATCATTACCAAAAGTTCATCTTGACATTGTTTGTTCTAATTTGTTCTAACCAAAAGAAAGTATAGAGTTCTATAGATAGACTAGTTGTTATAGTATCTAAATAAAATAAAAAAAAAAAAGTAAATAGTTAGTTAGCATTCTTTAACTTGATAAAAAACAAAAAGAGGTAACGACATTACCTTAAGGTCCTCATTAGATTGTTGTTGCCATCTTGAATAAAAAGTAAAGGAAACGCCAAGTTCAAACAGATAGACTAGTTGCTATAGTACCTAAATAGCATAATAACATAAAAAAAGTAAATAGCTATTAGTATTCTTTTACTTTATATAAAAAAAAAAAGCTAACTCCATTACCTTCCAGTCACGACATTCCTTTACCATCACCAACATGAATAAAACAAAAGGAGGTAAACACCACGTTTAATAGATAGAATAGTTACTACAGTGTAAGTAAAATAAAAAAAAAAAAAAAAAAAGTAAATAGTTAGTCATATTCTTTTACTTTATATAAAAAAAAAGCAAGTCCGTTACCTTAAGGTCAACTTGAGATCTCTTTGACATGACCAACATGAATAAAACAAAAGAAGGTAAGCACCACTTTTAACGCGTAAAGTAGTTGCTATAATATAAATAAAATAAAAAAGAAAAAGAAAAAGAAAAAGGTTAGTAGTATTCTTTTACTTTATAAAAAAAAAAAAAAAAAAAAAAAAGTAACTCCGTTACCTTAAGGTCACCACAAGATCTCTTTGACATCACCAACATGAATAAAACAAAAAGAGTTAAACACCACTTTTAACACATAAACTAGTTATTACAATATAAATAAAATAAAAAAAGTAAACAGTTAGTAGTATTCTTTTACTTTATATAAAAAAAAAGTTAACTCCATTACCTTTTGGTCATCATAGATCCCCTTGTCATCATCAACATGAATAAAACAAAAAGAGGTAACCACCATGTTTAACAGATAGAATAGTTGCTATAATATAAATAATAATAATAATAATAATAATAATAATAATAATAAAAAAGAAAAAGAAAAAGGTTAATAATATTCCTTTACTTATAAAAAAAAAAAAAAAAGTAAACTCCGTCACCTTAAAGCCAACATAAGATCTCTTTACCATCACCAACATGAATAAAACAAAAAAAG